ATGTCCGACGGTTAGGGTTAGGGTGAGACTTTGGGCAAGGGGTTAGGGTTAGGGCTGGAGCTAGGGTTAGGGTTAGGGTTGGAGCTAGGGTTAGGGTTAGGGTTGGAGCTAGGGTTAGGGTTAGGGTTAGGAAAATGTGAAGATTTTCCCAAAATCTGAAGATTTTCCTAAGTGCGGACCCAATTTTTCACCTTCCAGAATTGTGTTAGGAGCACGTTTCAGGCCACGGGGAGTCCATAGAACCTGATTCTGGGTGAAGTTTTCGGGGGTTGGAGCTTTGGGGCAGGATATAGGGATATGTGCCACTTTTGACATGCCGGTTCATTGCCTTTCCCAATGATGAACCGGGCTGAGATTTGGTCTACCCCCCATTTTCGGGTATGCTGAATCTAGAAATACTAATGAACCAGCGATCGGACATTGCTATCAAAAGTTATGGCGAAATGAAAATTTCCCATTGAAAATGAATGGGAGATGAAAATTGGAAAAATTCAAAGTTTTTTAAGTGTTTGACTTTGTCTGGAAGTGTTGAAAATGCATTGTGAGCACGTTTCAGGCCATTTCCTGTCATTTGAGGGCGACTTTGCAAAAAGGGGTGTCATACCGCTTTTGACCAGAGGTGGTGCTGCACATGTCCGACGGTTAGGGTTAGGGTGAGACTTTGGGCAAGGGGTTAGGGTTAGGGCTGGAGCTAGGGTTAGGGTTAGGGTTGGAGCTAGGGTTAGGGTTAGGGTTGGAGCTAGGGTTAGGGTTAGGGTTAGGAAAATGTGAAGATTTTCCCAAAATCTGAAGATTTTCCTAAGTGCGGACCCAATTTTTCACCTTCCAGAATTGTGTTAGGAGCACGTTTCAGGCCACGGGGAGTCCATAGAACCTGATTCTGGGTGAAGTTTTCGGGGGTTGGAGCTTTGGGGCAGGATATAGGGATATGTGCCACTTTTGACATGCCGGTTCATTGCCTTTCCCAATGATGAACCGGGCTGAGATTTGGTCTACCCCCCCATTTTCGGGTATGCTGAATCTAGAAATACTAATGAACCAGCGATCGGACATTGCTATCAAAAGTTATGGCGAAATGAAAATTTCCCATTGAAAATGAATGGGAGATGAAAATTGGAAAAATTCAAAGTTTTTTAAGTGTTTGACTTTGTCTGGAAGTGTTGAAAATGCATTGTGAGCACGTTTCAGGCCATTTCCTGTCATTTGAGGGCGACTTTGCAAAAAGGGGTGTCATACCGCTTTTGACCAGAGGTGGTGCTGCACATGTCCGACGGTTAGGGTTAGGGTGAGACTTTGGGCAAGGGGTTAGGGTTAGGGCTGGAGCTAGGGTTAGGGTTAGGGTTGGAGCTAGGGTTAGGGTTAGGGTTGGAGCTAGGGTTAGGGTTAGGGTTAGGAAAATGTGAAGATTTTCCCAAAATCTGAAGATTTTCCTAAGTGCGGACCCAATTTTTCACCTTCCAGAATTGTGTTAGGAGCACGTTTCAGGCCACGGGGAGTCCATAGAACCTGATTCTGGGTGAAGTTTTCGGGGGTTGGAGCTTTGGGGCAGGATATAGGGATATGTGCCACTTTTGACATGCCGGTTCATTGCCTTTCCCAATGATGAACCGGGCTGAGATTTGGTCTACCCCCCATTTTCGGGTATGCTGAATCTAGAAATACTAATGAACCAGCGATCGGACATTGCTATCAAAAGTTATGGCGAAATGAAAATTTCCCATTGAAAATGAATGGGAGATGAAAATTGGAAAAATTCAAAGTTTTTTAAGTGTTTGACTTTGTCTGGAAGTGTTGAAAATGCATTGTGAGCACGTTTCAGGCCATTTCCTGTCATTTGAGGGCGACTTTGCAAAAAGGGGTGTCATACCGCTTTTGACCAGAGGTGGTGCTGCACATGTCCGACGGTTAGGGTTAGGGTGAGACTTTGGGCAAGGGGTTAGGGTTAGGGGCTGGAGCTAGGGTTAGGGTTAGGGTTGGAGCTAGGGTTAGGGTTAGGGTTGGAGCTAGGGTTAGGGTTAGGGTTAGGAAAATGTGAAGATTTTCCCAAAATGTGAAGATTTTCCTAAGTGCGGACCCAATTTTTCACCTTCCAGAATTGTGTTAGGAGCACGTTTCAGGCCACGGGGAGTCCATAGAACCTGATTCTGGGTGAAGTTTTCGGGGTTGGAGCTTTGGGGCAGGATATAGGGATATGTGCCACTTTTGACATGCCGGTTCATTGCCTTTCCCAATGATGAACCGGGCTGAGATTTGGTCTACCCCCCATTTTCGGGTATGCTGAATCTAGAAATACTAATGAACCAGCGATCGGACATTGCTATCAAAAGTTATGGCGAAATGAAAATTTCCCATTGAAAATGAATGGGAGATGAAAATTGGAAAAATTCAAAGTTTTTTAAGTGTTTGACTTTGTCTGGAAGTGTTGAAAATGCATTGTGAGCACGTTTCAGGCCATTTCCTGTCATTTGAGGGCGACTTTGCAAAAAGGGGTGTCATACCG